TATTTTACGATTGTATTTTTATTAGGGAATTCTGGGATGTTTTTTACATGCTGTGGGGAAGGAAAATGGGATTGGTAAATACACCTAATCCCAAACAAGTTATCCTTGCAGATGAAGATGTTTCCATTCTCTTAAATTTTACATTATTGGCAGACAGATATTACATATACAGTGCAAGGTGTAAAAAACAAAACCTGGATTTAATGGCTTATAGAAAATACATGCAAAATGTTCAAAGTATAGTATTTCATATTATTAAAATATTATTAAAAACAAAAAAAAAAACATTGTAAATTGTTTCTGACGTATTTAATATTTAACAGTATGTGAATAGAATGGCAATATCTGTCATTATCATTTTGGTACAGCTGTTACACAAATAGTGTTTTAGTTCCATGACTCAGCAGTTATTTATAAAGAAATTAATCTGATTAATGAGAATAAAACATGTTTTATCATGGATTTCAACAGAAAAATAAACAAATATCTAAATTTATCTTGAGAAGATGGTTCCCCTAGTTGAATAATATAATACAGCACAATGAACGTTTTTTCATCATAAACATATAATCGTTATTTTATGATACTGCTTGCTAAATTAAAATACCTTATTTATTGCAAATGTGTGATGGAGTGTGTTATTACAATTAATAGAAAGTATGTGCGTTTCAGTGACACGTGATAAATTATGACCTAAGAACATTCCACTTAATGGACGGGTGTGGGATAAACTGTATAATAAACATGGAAGAGTCTTCAGCTGCTGAAGCTGTAATCTATAACTTAACATGGATTTGGAACTCGGGAAATCACTGTTGTTTTGATAAAACAACTGTTCCTATGAAAGGATCTAATGGGTTACGCACTTTACAACCATCAGAGATGGTTAGATAATAAAGAAATATCAGGAGCATCTACTAGACAATCGTGTTCAGAACTTTTATATCAATCCATTCAATGGGTAGGTCAGCATACAATTGCCATTACGTCAACATATTAATCCTCAAAAGAAAGTACAACTATTACACAAAGCTTGTATAGTCTGTGCGGGATTTTCCATAATGTATTTATAAAATACAACTGTGGGTTGTTTGTATTAAAAGTGGCATATACAAATTTTAGACAAATTTTAGCCTGCTGAGTCTGCAACAAGAAACAGTCACAATTTCAACCCTTGACCCCCTCCCCAAATTGAAACACACACAAACAGTTTCAACGCTCTCGAATCCTCATTAAAGCCTATATTCGTTCCCAAAATAGCTGGATCACACACAGGAGTCAAACTGCTGATGTAACTTATCTCCTATGCGTGTTTTATAATGACAGTAAATTCACTGGTAATGACAACCCTAAATATTGTTACAATGCATATAATATGCAAACACAGTATGTCATAACAGTGGCAAACAGTATGCATTTGACATTTGAAAGAAAACCCCAAAAAAGTATATTTGAGAGTACTAATCACATAATAGCTGGATCAGTGCTTTTTAAAAAGTTTGTATTTGCAACAATATATTGGTTTATGAATAATATTAACGACGTGAATTACAATATGTATGTGTTCACAATAATGATGGTGTCAAGTAACTTACCATGATGAACTCTGTGATGACTTGGAGTACATATGATAAATTCTAAAGGTCCAAGTGTCCGTATTACCTGTGTTTAGAAACAAAAAAACTTACATAACTTTCATATAAATTTCACATTCACAATATATACCTCAATGCTTGTATAGCATTGGCGTGATTACGATTCTGAATGATATATCCATTAAGAATGTATTTCTCAATGATGAGAATTATGATTTAACTTATAAATTGGACATGAAATTATTCAGTAATAACTTTTGGTAGTACTGTCATGAATTTGTTTGCGCGTATCTGTTGATCGACTTATTTAGTTGATTACGAGTGAATGGCTGTGTTATGTCTGTCATCGTTTAGGCTCATGCGAGGTCTTGGACGGAACTCGACTCAGTGATTTGGAACTAATTACGATATAACCGACGCTATCCGGACTACTATTTCTGACAGTTGGTATTCGCAGTTAGTAATATAGCGGACGATTAATCAAAAGATATGACGTGTCCAGTACTTAGTGTGATTGGCTGTATGTGTGAAGGCCACGCCTTAGAGTCTTTTAACTGCTTTGTAATTGGCGAGTACACCACGAAAGACGCAGTCTTGGGGCAGTCTAGAGACAGTCTTGGGGCAGTCTAGAGGCAGTCTTGGGTCAGCCTTGCGATAGTCTCGGGGACTTTTCCCCAGGGCGCTGTGTCTTATAGAGTACTCGACTGACCGACTAAAGACTAAAGACGTATTCCGTTGTGTGCGTCTATTTGAGTTTAAGTGACTTTCCCGATCCCGCACCTCAAGCAGACGAGATATAGAGGCCAGACGAGATTTCCCCCTGACATGTGTGGAGTACCCCAGAGGAGAAGAATTTCCATCTGATAGTACAATAGGAATTCTTTTTGTTGCAACAGGAATAAGGATTTTTTATGATACTATAGACATTTCTTTTGTTGCACAGAAACAAGTTTGTGGCAGTAAAGCCAAAAAATATATTAAGAAAATTACAACATTATAAATATTAGATATTTTACTACGAAACTATATACTTACAAATAAATAATTGTTTCTTAAAATAAGTGTATTCTACAAATAATATTTAAATTTATTTATAATTTAATTTAATTTATAGTGCCATACGAAATACTGAACCCACCTCTGTATGTATCCAGCATTGGTACAGATTGGTAAATTGAATAGTTACTAATGCAACTGTCGGTGGAATGAAGAGGGCGAATGGGATGTAGAATATCTACAATAAAAAAAAGTTTACATTTGGAAGCAAGCAGTTAATAATTAGACCCGCAAGCAAGTAGTCACTAACCATTGCATTATGGCCTTAGTGATGCAAATATACTATCCTAAAGTCAACTAATAATCGTACTTCATTACATTTGTCTTAATACATATACATGTGTTTGTAGGCAACACGAGAAACATATATTGTCTTCGAATGATTAAATCAGTCTCGACTTCACAGTGACAGCCATATTGGAATCTTCTACATGTGTAGTACGCACAAAACATAATCAAATGCGATAATAGTGTATCTGAGGATCTGAGGACAACTTGCATAATAATGTTGTCATGTAATTAGTAGTGATGTACTTACACATATTTAATTACATTACAATAGTATATCACTAAAATTTTAGCTCGTAGTTAGCAAAGTTTACTTATTCGATCAAAGTAAAATATTTCTTATTATTATATTGAATTGTTACGACCTACCCATGCCAATTGTATATGCAAAACACCTTGTCGAAGTGATACACTGAAATTCATATCTTCTGAACTATGATGCACTTGGTGAGTTGCCCATAATATATTAACTTCTGTAGGGACAAATGAAATATGAAGTAAAACGGCAGTTAGCATGTACTCGCAGATATTAACTACATAAACAATCTATTCAAGTTTACTGAAATTAATGTTTCTGTTGAACTACAGTAAATCCCTCTTCCTGCTGCACTAAAATACACGCCCGTTTCAAATACCCGAAAAAAATCTCTATTGCAATAAAGAAAATCACTGTTGCGGCTGTGTTTTACTATTTGATCAATTACATATATTAAATTCTAATTGTTTAAATATATTCATACCGTGAAATAGTCTATGACACCAATAGTATCCCAAATCAATGCACACAAAAGCAAACAACCATGTCCAGAGTAAGTTCACAGGCAAATGTAAAATTGCCAAGTGTTCATACACCCATTGATATATTCCAAATTCCGTCGTTAATGTCAGAAATCTGTAAAGGTGCATATATTTATATAATAAGAATTCTGGTCTGAAAAATCAATTTATTAAAGCAACCATCAAATGCGATTTTGCATGTGTTGAATACTCACTTCAAAAGGTAGTTTGTTATTGTCATGAGAAATGCAGCACCAAGCGAGGAGAGAGTGTCATTTATTCTGTACAGCTTGTCTTGACCTTGCATATATCCGACAGTCATCTCTAACAATATAGCCAGGAGACATAGTGGACCAACCTGAATACATCAAAAGTGACTCAATAATTATTGTGATGATTTCAATGACAGATACGCTGTTAAATCTCTCAAGGGTGGGCGAACACTCTTCTAGGGCATGTGTCTGTGATGGGCTGTGAACATTTGGCTTTGAAAACTAAGTTGAGATGAGCAATAACAAAACGTTTGCCGTACTTCTACAATTAACCACGTACAGCACAGTTTATTTGGATGGTCAACGATAACGCAGTTTCATGTCGTGGACTGTCACAAATAGTACATTACATTTTTTTTGCGTAAAACCGTTGGCAAGAAACTGATTGACAGATTCGGGCAGGCTTAGAAATTAGTTCAGTTTGTGTTATTGATGCATTGCTCGTCTTTATTGCATGACCAACAAAACACCCATAGCCAAAAGGAACAAATGTAGATTAATAATTCATTAAAATACTGCAAAGTGCTTTCATCTTTCAGTGTGTATGTTCGTCCAAACTGGGGATGGCTAAGAACGCATTTCGTCTCAAAGATTCAAAAGTAGTGGCATTATTTTTAACACTAAAGTTTCGGGCAAGCGGCATCAGTATGATAAAGACATTTGATAAACCACCATCAAAGTAGATTTCAGTATATGTTGGTCTAGTAACAGACTGCAGATGATTTATTTATTTAAAGACACGTTTTTCATGAAGTTCTTATCAATGTTTAGAATATTTTTTTGTCATAAGAGACACTGGTCTCCTTGAAATTATTAAACTTTTTTTTACAACAGATGATGTTATGGTACTTCTAAAAAACAAGTTGTATGTGCAACTGGTACATTTGATGAACTCACAATTGTGTTGTCTGTCGAAGAAGCGTTCATAGCATCGCCAACTGATAAGCGTACTCGTCAAGCTATCCATACGACGCAGGTTAACGTATTCTACTGAATCTACTGAAATAAATGCAAAATCGTTAATGTTGTTAGCGTGGGATTTGGGGACGAAGAATTAAAAGCGGATTAAAAAGGGGGTAAGGCAAAACGGAACAAGCATTTGATACAGCGGTGAGTCATTAGAGATAATAGATAGTGTTAAATTGTTTCTTTATTAGACTTTGGACATGTATTAGACCACACAGAGGGACTGTGATTAGACGTACTTGCTGTTAGTAGTACATGGTTGCTGTTAGTAGTACATAGTTGGTGTGAGTAGTACATAGTTGGTGCCAGTAGTACATGGTTGGTGTTAGTAGTACATGGTTGGTGTTAGTAGTACATGGTTGGTGTTAGTAGTACATGGTTGGTGTTAGTAGTACATGGTTGGTGTTAGTAGTACATAGTTGGTGCTAGTAGTACATGGTTGGTGTTAGTAGTACATGGTTGGTGTTAGTAGTACATGGTTGGTGCTAGTAGTACATGGTTGGTGCTAGTAGTACATGGTTAGTGCTAGTAATACATGGTTGGTGTTAGTAGTACATGGTTGGTGCTAGTAGTACATGGTTGGTGTTAGTAGTACATGGTTGGTGTTAGTAGTACATGGTTGGTGCTAGTAGTACATGGTTGGTGTTAGTAGTACATGGTTGGTGTTAGTAGTACATGGTTGGTGTTAGTAGTACATGGTTGGTGTTAGTAGTACATGGTTGGTGTTAGTAGTACATGGTTAGTGCTAGTAGTACATGGTTGGTGTTAGTAGTACATGTTTGTGCTAGTAGTACATGGTTGGTGTTAGTAGTATGGTTGGTTTTAGTAGTCATGGTTGGTTTTAGTAGTACATGGTTGGTGTTAGTAGTACATGGTTGGTGTAGTAGTACATGGTTGGTGTTAGTAGTACATGGTTGTGTAGTAGTACATGGTTGGTGTTAGTAGTACATGGTTGGTGTTAGTAGTACATGGTTGGTGTTAGTAGTACATGGTTGGTGCTTAGTAGTACATGGTTGGTGTTAGTAGTACATAGTTGGTGTGAGTAGTACATAGTTGGTGCTAGTAGTACATGGTTGGTGTTAGTAGTACATGGTTGGTGTTAGTAGTACATGGTTGCTGTTAGTAGTACATGGTTGCTGTTAGTAGTACATGGTTGGTGTTAGTAGTACATGGTTGGTGTTAGTAGTACATGGTTGGTGCTAGTGCATATTCCCTTGATATTTTACAATACCTTGTAAATCAATGTATCCAGTTGAAAATTCTCATCAATATTATTAAATGTCTGTAAATCCGGGCATAGTGTTACAACCAGGTCGAGTTTAAATGTCTGGCGACACTGGACAACGTTTTGATCTAATATCAGTGTTCAAAGTAAGTAGTACTTCCCCGTATTTCTCTCCGCGATTCGACACCACACTCGTTTGGAACACTATTTAATTACAAAGTCATTGGAATTCTCGACTAATCAGATTGATTGGTTCCAATGCTTGATATACCTTAAATGACGGGTTTCGAAAATCATATGTTCTATTATTATTCAAAGTCCTGTGACTTTTGTAATACCATACACGTATAGCGTGATAATATTTCTGGTGCGTTGTATATCGCATGTCATTCTTTGCCAGAATTCAAAACTTGGGTACACATGTGAACAAATTTATCCATGAAAACGAGGAACTAATGGACAATGGCATTAATGATGAACTAAGATATAATGGTTTGTCTCAAACGTGAATATGCAAAGGATTGTTGTATTTTGTGCATTTTTTCAGTGACAAATATTATATTGTATGAATATAAAAATCGTAAAAACATCGGAACATTTCGCGCATTTTTATTGGACTGTTAAAACAGCAATTGACATGTACTTCTTATTGGTCTACAAATACAACCCAAACTCGATTCAGCCATACTAAATATTCAGTAAAAGAAATAAAATAACACGGCAGTATTTTGGTAGATATGTGACAGAATAGAGATATGTGACAGTCCATTGGAAATACGAGTTGCACAATTGATTCAAATTGAGTCAAATTGAACACTACATACACAAGAGAAAATGAACACAATACAGGATTGCTAATGTGTAATTTAAACTGAGAGAAACATTATTTATAAGATTAAAACGCAATATCAAAACCATGTAAAGCAAATAAAATATGTGTCATGTTTGATGTCTTGTTCACAATAAATTAACATACAATTTATACTAACAATGTGGCCAAAGAATCAATTGTCATTATATTTTGCAGATCGGATTCAAAATGGCTGACTAGCGGTAAAATATGTCAATCATTTTATTGTTAAAAAATAATCATAATCGTCATATTCAAGCATCAGCTTCTGGATTCGTGTCGCTGACATGTTAGTGTCCTATCTATATTATTAAACAAAATTAAATATCTTAAATTTTATAATTACAGGTCAATGTAAGCAGAACCGCAAAATAAAAGATGAATTATTGGCATTTATGTTTAATGATTGTAAAAAATTGAAAATCAGTTGACAAACCTAGCCACCTACTATCAAATTTCTTAATCCGCCAGTGCTCGGAACAAAGGTTTAAAATTACAGAAGAACAAAATATATCCGGAAATGCGCCATATTTACTCCATGCAACGTATTCATGTTTGTGAATATATTTATTGATTATAGCAGCGTAGACCACTTCACTCTAGAAAGAACTGCGAATATACCCTCACAAGTTTCATCGCCACCAGAAATAACTTGTTAAATTTACACAGTTTAGATCAGTTAACTATACATATAAACAATAAACGCGCATGCTGACTATATGTGTACAAAGAACGTTTGACATTTGCTGTACTTGAATACTAGTAATCAGTCGAATTAAAAAACTAAGCTCCGCCCATACCACGGGAGGTAAATGTATGTCAATTCCAAAGGTGACTTCAATGTTTCCTGTTCCGTTTTTGTTCATGACGAATGCATGTGCTCCTATATGGGTCGTCTCTGAAAATTTAAGTAATACCGAACAACTATCTCATCGAATAAAAGATCGATCGCGGGCCATATGCAAAAAACAATCGACGGAAAAGGTAACTTATCAACTGGGCATGGGATCTCACCAACGCATCAACTGATTATCCAATCACAGAGGTGAATTCACGTAGCAGGCGATGAACTCAACTTGATCTTTTGGTGTGTGGCTTTCTCCTAACCGTGTTTTACTATAGAATGGAAATGTCACGAAACATCGTCGCAAATATATTACCTCTACTATTGCTACACATCAATAGTAGTAATTCAGTCGGTAGTTCGTTGCGTCAGCGTGCTAACTAAATAACACCCCTTTTACGCGTGTTTTAATTTAATGTATGAGGGGTGTTAATATTCAAACAATATGACAACATCAGTGTTCATAATAATTTATAATATCAGAAATAGTACCTGTTAAAAGATCGTTTCAATTGTTCTATTGTTAGTGATAATACGTATTTAGTCAAAATGGATTTTAATATTTGTTTAGTTTATTATTGGAACCCATGTATAAACATGTTTGTTTTATAGATGATTTGTGACCCGTGAAACTAAGACATTACTACATATATACCCACGATAAGAATGATATTTGTCTTAACTTAATTAAAAATATGAAAGAAATTTAGTATATTTTGATATATTTTGATATATTTATTCAATTTTAATGTATCTAACCACTGACTAAGAAATATTAAATATGTCAGAAACTATTCGCAGTGTTAAATGTGTCGCTTCTAATGCACTTTTTTATTGTTTACATAAGTGACATCTCACGTGACATCTTATATTACAATGTCATATAAAGTTTTAAGTAAATAGGTTCACACAATGGAGTAAATATAAATGAGTAGCAATGTAACAAAAGTCGAGTAGCTACATCTCTATTATCAACGCATCAGTGTGATCATCAGGGGTTATATCTCTGTTATCAACGCATAAATGTGTTTATGAGGGGTTTCATCTCTGTTATCAACGCATACATGTGATCATCAGGGGTTGCATTTCTGTTATCAACGCATAAATGTGATCATCAGGGGTTATATCTCTGTTATCAACGCATAAATGTGTTCATCAGGGGTTATATCTCTGTTATCAACGCATAAATGTGTTTATGAGG